ATGTACGATGTATGTAGGAGGGCACATTACATATGAGGCTTGTTGAAAAAACACTTGTTTGTGTACAAGCATACACAAAACAGATATAAACGTTATATACTCGAGATTCGGAAGACCACTGTTTTTGGCTCAAGTAAAGACATAAGAATGGCGAGTCCTGGTGGTCTTGAAGTCTGAGGTATATGGCAAGAAATGACCATGTGACCTTAAAAGAAATTAGAACCTTCAAACCATCTTTTCCTGTCACTTAGTAGTGCTGCACTAACTTAAAGGTCCCATGTCATGGCCATTTCTACTGATCATAATTCCATTGTTGAGGTCTACTAGAATAGATTTACATTGTTCAATGTTCCAAACTCACATTGGTTTCTCACACAGCATCTCTGTATAGTATGTGTATTCACTCTCTGTCCTACACAGCTTGTTGGAGCTCCTGCCCCCCCCTCCCTGTGAGCCCACTGTACTCTGATTGGTCAGCTCTCCCACTCTGTTCTGATGAGTCCACCGGCGTTACAGCGGAACTTCATTGATTATGAGTTACAATGGCGTTTGTTAGCAACCAGAAAATGACACCAGTAAGGAAAAACAGATGAGAATGCTGCGTGGGTTCTGGGTGCCGTGTTGGCGGGACGTTGCGCGGATCGCTGCTGCGAGGAGCGGACAGTGTGAGCTGGGTGGATCTGCGAGACAAGCGAGACATCCCGCGGGAAGGGGCGGGGGTGCTGAGGGGGCTGCAGCACCCCTATCTGCGAGGCTCCACTAGCTATATATATTATATATATACTATATTTGTAACACAATATTAGAGGGATTGATAATTTTTGCATCATAAACTTCCTTATCAGTGTATAATATAATACAATGATCATGATGTGATTTTAATAGAATCTGCAAAAATGTGGTTTGTTAAGTTTGTATAAAACAATTTGTAGGGTGGTATTTCCCCGATGATCCACAATACTTATTACGAAATGGCATTTTAACACATTTTTAGCTTTTAACAAATATTATGTTTTCTGCAATTTGGATATTGCACCAGTCCATATTATGATTTTGAAACTATTTTGATTTAAGTCTGAGTATCACTCATATTCTCAGCTGTGCAAAAGGCTGGATTTTTTTAATTATTATTCTTTTCCAATTCTGGGCAACAACCTCTATACAAACTTGGATCGCAAGCTTAAATAGATGCATACAAAAAGAAAATAAAGAAGTTGCGAAATTGGCAGATAAAAAAATATAGGAAGGTAAAATGCCCAGCTGGCAAATCAGGTAATCAGGTGCTGATGAGCTGGTTAGGGGGCCCACTTTGAATGTTAAGCTTACGAACTACAACCAATTCTGATTTTAAATGTATTTCAAATGTCTGTCCTTGTGCATACACACAGTTTGTTTTGAATCTACACTGGTTGTTTAGCATCTTGCCCCTGAGGCACGTGCCATGTTTTATTTTAGTTCTGAAATCATTTAATTCAAGTCTACTTTATCAATGATTTACTTGCCATGATATTTACTGACAATTTGGGAAATAAATAGCTTCCTCTTACTGGTAATGATCCACAGATAAATAACGATTTATTAGAATAACTATTTTTTTCTCTGAACACCTCCAAACAATCTCTATCGCATCATGTTTCTCATCACATCCACACGTGTCTACCTGTATTGTAATTAAAATGAGGGGCCCAAGGTGATACTTTGGCAAAAGTTGTTAAAAAGAAGATGATGGAACGCAGCTGTTGCCCTCGGTTACCAGGTGTTTTGGATGGAGACATTGGTAAGACTGGAAGAAGGGAGTTATTAGTAGTGAAAGGAGTTTACATTTATCTAAAAGGCGTTATATGGAACTGGGTGAACATTGTTTTCAATGCAACTGTCTAAAATCATCTGTTGATTTGTGAAACTGTAGAATTATTAATTATATACTTTATTCGTAAGATTTCTGTGGTTATTTTGTCTCTGTCCTCAGCTGCTTGTATAACACATTTTAACTAGTGGCTTACCATGCAAAGTTGTGCCTTGATAATGGAAAACAACCATCCAATAAAAACTGCATGTGTAGCAGATATTATACATCATTCTATAAAAGGTATAGGCTGACGGGAATGGCAATAGAGTGGTGCAGTGACGCGTCCTAAAACCCGGAAGTACGCTGCACATGGGTTCCCTCCGGTTCCCTCGACAAAAAAGCAATGCAATTTCTCCATATGATTTTGGAACATAGCTGGAAATAAGGTCTGTGTTTGACACACATTTAAGAGATGGATCACGTTTTGTTCAGCCGGATAATATCCACATGTCTACCCTACTTTTATAATTTTCTAATCGTAAATCTAATCGCCAGAAGCAAAATGCTAACGTTATGCTATAAAGGAACTACAGCAGGGTCGCTGCTTCAACGTCACTTCAACTTCAACGTTAAGATCCATATTCAAAAATACAGATTCAAAATTGTACAAGTTGAAACGTTTGTTTTAACAGTTTGCAGATACATGCTTTCAAGCAGAACAGGGCAAACTAACTTAGAGGGAGTGTTTACGTGTTCGGTGTAATGACGTACAACGTCCTCGACAACTTCTGTAGTCCTATTCAGCCACTTGTTAACAACCATCGTTTTTCAGACACGTAAACTCTTCAAGAATCACCAGTGGGGTCACTGCTGATGTATGTAATGTCATAGAACAAAACGTGATCCCTCTCTTAAATTTGTGTCAACCACAGACCTTATTTCCAGCTATTTTCCAAAATCCTATAGAGAAATTGCATTGACTCTGAGTCGAGGGAACTTCCGGGTTTTAGGACCCGTAACTGCACCACTCTACTGTTGCAGGTATTAGGACATAAACTGAAGTACTGGAATACAACCTCTGGGGACATCAGTAAAATATATCTAGAAGATGGATTGGCTCAAAACATAGTCCAGATTTTTGGATATATGGTACAAATGTGTAACTGTTAGTAATGCTACAGGAACTATCAGAGGATTGCCAAGGTCAGTATGATACATTCTCTAAGGTCCATTTCTGAACAAAATATCACCGCAATCTATCCAATAGTTGTGATAATTTTTTTTCAATTTGGACCAAAGTCGTGGGCATACCAACTGATATTGTCATCGATACAGTCATTCCCCTTGTCTGGCTTTTTTTGTATGTTTGATAGTTTGCCTGTGTATGAACACGTTGGTAGTGCAGGTTGGCTTCCATTTACAAATACCTTAGGCATGTAGGTTGTTGTAAATTTAGCAGAATTGACTCGCATCAATATTCAGAGCTGCCCTTTGTACACGTCCATGTACAGTTTTCTTCTTGACAAGTGAATATATTTTGGGAGAGGACATGGGGTATGCATCATACCCTCAGGCTTTGGTCACAGTGGTGTGCAAATCAAAGAGGAAATGTTCTGCCTCATTTATTCCCTCTATTCATTTCTCTGCAAAAAAAAAACCTGCGTTAACCAAAATAAATATGCCGTCTCTTTAGCCCGTTTGTCGCCGTGCCAGCTTTCCCGGAGGCGGAAATGCTACAATCGATATCCCTCAAAGGACTGGCGCATTGCACCAGGCGCTCCTAAAATGCCTGTGAGCTCACAAATATTTATGAAATGGGTAAATGAGAATGTGAAGAAGAGCACTGAATGCCACTGACATGTTAATGAAGATGTAGGCTGAATGTAGCTGTTGGTTTCAGGGGTTTCAAACTGTCATATCTTGCACTCAGTTTTGGTAGATAAGACATGTGAAGACTATAAAGAGAAAGTTGTTTAGATATTTGAAAAAGCCTGAACCAATGTTTAGTTTTGGACTTCTATCAGCACTAAATCAGCTTTTTCCTCCACAAAAGGCTTGCCCAAGTGGTTTACTTAGTGAGGATAGCAACACTTTACTTTTCATTTGTTTATAAATTGTTTGTTGGTCTGAATAATTCTAGAAATCAGACAACCCAACAGTTAATCACCTAACATAAGGAGACAGGTGGAGGTGGGATTGGTGCACCAGAATGGGCACATACCCATTAACAGGAAAGGTCAAGGAAAGTCAAAGGAAAGGCACAGGGCAAGACTACGTACAACTATTGTCATTATACTGTTGGATTATTGGAATCAATTGAACAAAACGATTTTCTTGCCTGCAATTTGGATGATGTCCTTGCATACATTAAGCTATCTGGAGCCTCAGCTGCAGTTTGATTTTGGACAATTTTATCTTTTTATGATATTGCCGCTAAAATATAGTTAATCCCACAAGACAGATGTTATCATTGACGTCCGTTAGTTTTTTTGTGAGAGCTGCAAAGGTGTCTAATAAAGTTATTCATCAAGACTTTGAGTGCATCCATGCTTTTGACCAGTGAATCAGTCTGACGCTGCTTTTTCTTTTGGTCATTGTGTTGTTATATTCATTTTGATGGTCAAATTTTTTTACTAGATAAAAAGAACAGAAAATATGCTTTATTCTCAGTTTACCAATAGAGACAAATGTAAGTAAAAAGACAAGTAATCAGGAAACACACTGCTATTGTTATACTATTATGATCTAAAATGATGATCATCACTGTGAATCATTCTCTCTGTAATAGTATGCTGATTACCAAAATATCTATTATAAGTTCCACCCTCTGCCATCCAAATTTCAACTGAATCGCTGTATAATCAATTCTTCTTCTTGGCCACCTTGTTAGGTGGCAAATCTGTTCTCCTACCCCCACCACCAACAGATTATTAGTCAGGCAATCAACAAGCCACTTCGACACAGAGCTGCTTTAATTGGATGCTGCACAGAGTATTACCATGCCCGTTGCCTAGCAATGGTGGATCCTTATGCCAGTATTGCTGTCTTTGTGCATGTTTTTCTTTCCCAACAAAAATTGAATCTATAATTACTTTCTAATTACTACCTCTTCCCTCAAACAAGTTCCCATCATGCTCCTGAAAGCTTTCTGCCCAGCGGTGCTCTTTCTGAATTGACATGATGTGATATGACCCCTGCGGGTTACCATGATCTAAAACTGGAGATATGATGTGGGAGAATACTGGGTACCATTCAGCGATAAGGACGTCTCCTGCGGCCATTTGGCTTTGATGATAACAGGCACTTTGGGGGCTATTGAAACACCTGCACACATCAACAATGTATTGTATACATTGGTACCTTCTGGCTGCCCTGCTAAAGCCGTTTTACTGGCTAATTAGTTGTCACTGCGTTGAGAATAACCAGAACAACTATGCCTACAGAGCTATACCAATATAAACACAACCTTTTCCATGGCAAAACTATTTGTAATAAACATTAAACCACCTTGGCCAAAATTCTGAAGACACTCTTTACTTTTCTAGAGAAAAATCCCATTGGAACAACGCCATGTAAACTTCTCTTCAGTGATATTTGTCCTGACCGTTGTCCTGTTCTTCCTCACACTATTGCCTCCAGAGAAGTTTGTATGTTATGACCAACGTACAAAAGTCACACCATCAGAAAATGGAAAAAAGCCCCTCAATGTGTGAGGAAAGAGACCAAATAACTGGGAAACAAAAGAGCGTGAACACAAAGCTGTTATGAATGCGTTGCTGTTAGAGACACTGGCTGGAGGATGATGATAGTCACAAAAGAGATTACGAGCCATATGCAGTATGTCGTCGCCAGGTTGGTTGGCTCGAGAGTCCAATAAGCCGGCTAAATGAGGCCTTGACACCGGCCAGGAAACAATTCCAGACTTTTTTTGCTGGCAGTGCTGATGTAGTGAGGCCAGCCAATACACTACCAAGGGATTGTTTACAGCGATGACATTGGACTGAGATTGGAGTCGTGACACGGCCCCGAAACAACCCTCATCCTCTTTGGACGTCGCTAACAAAATACCTTACTGTATTACTGTACTGGTGGGTGAGAGAGGGGACACCTAGAGCTTTTCATTGTCAACAAAATGTGCAAAATACTGATAGGAAACCTCTATCCCTCTCCATTATAAACACCTTTTTTGTTGTTGTTGTGATTGACTGTTTAAAAGTGTAATTCTAGTTTGTTTCTTCCCTCCCATGTTTATGCAAGTTGCATTTCCAAGAGTTTCACTCTTATTCCCCACACTAAGGGTTAACTCTGCATGTCTTAATTAAGATGAATGTGCATATATTCCCTCATTTTATACTCATTAATATGAAACAAATTGAAAGCATCTTTAAACACTGAAATAATCTGCAAACTTCAGCTAAAACGTTAACAAACAGTGAAAGATAAGAAACCATGGGTAATTCCAAATACACATGATGAGTAAAGTATGATAGAAAGAGCCTCGCTGAATTCAGTTGTGAACAGTTACAACTTCATATATAAAATGTTCTTTAAAACGCATAGTCCAATTAGTAAAATGACCCCTTAAAGTGCTATACATTCACAATTCATCATTTACCCATTCATACCGCATTCATACAGAGTTCAAGGAAGCTAACTTTCACACACCAAGGATACATCGACATGTTCACTGCAGGAGCTGGAATCGAACTCACAGCCTTCCGATTGAAAGCCACAGTCGCCCATCCAATGCAATATATTAAACCTGCCCTGCAGCGAGTGTAGGCTTTCACATGCTATTTTTACTTGGTCTTAATTGAGACTGTGGCATCTGCTGAAGTCTATACAGTATGTTGAATGGTTCCAATTTGGGTTGGATGATCATTTTTATTTTCATAGCATCTTATCATGGCCAACAGGAGGCTGCATGGCTCAGCGAGCTTTGAAATAATCTTATCTTTAAGCTTTCTATAAGCAACACATTTAGCGTTAAGTGAATAAATATGAAAAAGTTTGGCACAAGTCTATTTCTGATACCAGGCCTATAGCCAGATTATTAAGGTTGTGTTAAAAAAAAATTATATAATGAAGACTATGAATCTTTAAAAACATGAATGATAGTTTAATAGCTACCAACCTAAATGTAGCTCAAACTGGCCATCCATTGAGACCCAGATTGTCTTTAAGCTCCTGCCAGTCCTGCTTAGAGGAGCAGGTGGTCACAGCAGACAGTGAGCTGAGCCACGCTGAAGACTCACCAACTGCCTTGCTCAGCCTCCTCCCACCCTTTATCTTTCCTTCCATCCATTTCTTTCAAACCATTCATCCCTCCATTCATCCTCTCCGACACAGCTTGATTTCTCCATCACTTCCTGCTTGCGTCTGCCTCCGTCTGCATGCCCCCATAGAGTGGCAGCCAAAGATTCTGACATCCACCAGATGTACAGTGAGCTTTTTCCCCACTGCTTCTCCTACTCACGCTCTGTTGTTCCTGCATCACTTTCACCCACAGCGAACTGAACGCAGCTGAACACACTTAATGAGGATGTAATGATCACCGTCCTTGTGCGTTTGTGTGAGTGTGTGTGGGGTGTGTATACATGTGTGGGGGATAGGAAGTAAAAAGGGACTTCTGACACGGACTGACAGGCATCGTGCAGGCCATCACTCTGACGGCTGTAGAAGCAGTAGAAACCAATGATACCCCAACACAATCCATGCTCTATGAATCTGGATTTGTTTAACCCTCTGATGTCGAATTAATGGCGTCCCCAGCTTAGGATACTGATATGCAATGCAAGTTTGTCAGAAAGAAAGGTAAAGATAGCTCAAAATGAAGGCAAAAAGAGAAAATGGGCGAGGCCATATTTACATGGGTACCTTAACCTCTCACTGCAAGATAGTGGAATGAAAATGGGTTCTATGGATTCCAACAAGTCTCCCCTTTACAAACATGCTCATTTATGCTAATCCCCTGCAGTTAGGGAAAACAATCATGCCGTTTTTAGCAACCAGTGTTATTTTTTTATCATACCAAATAGGGTGCATTTGAATGTTTTGTTGTTTTTTGTGGAGTCTCAACACTCTTATAATGACATACATTGGGTATTCAGAGAGCCCAATTGTATTCCACATGTATTAATCCTTATTTTTTTATTTAAAGTAGAAAATGTTGAATTCAATCAACTAGATAGTAGAATCTTCCAAATGTTAAAAGTATTTGATGTTTTCAAATGTAACACCAAATCTGTGTCTCATATTGAGACTTTTAAGACACAGCATGTTCAAAGTTCTTACACCCACAAACCTTTACATTTCAATTAGGTGTATATCGAATACATAATATATATTTGAGATTTATGACAAGAACAACTTGTCACACGGTGCTGTTGTGCATCTCAAATGAATTGTAGCATTGATGATCCACTGTCCCCCATTAAAAGAGACAAAGTGTGGGTCTCTAGGTTTAAGTCTGTCAATTTCAATTGGAAGTTTATTGACTTTCTCCTAATCCCTACACAAATTAGATTTGAATTAAAATCTGCTCTGGTTAAACTGTGACAGCCCTGGGAATTAAACCACGGAGCACAAAAAGCTACCTGCAGTGAGTATGACACGACCAAACCCTCTCTGCTTTCCTCAAAACACGAGGATTAGATTCCAGAGGGGAGAAATTCGTCTATAAGTCTAAATGACAGCGCCACACTCAGTGGGCAGAAGGACAGGAGTGAGATGCTGTAGAACAAGAGCGGGGTGATTTCCCCATTCACTGGTGAAGAAAATGGCTTTTCCGTTCTCTCTTAGTCAACTTGAAAATTGGGGGCATTAACTGTATGTCTTGTCTGGGTAATCTTTGTGCAATGCCAAACGATCTCAACCATTCCCATATACGCACTTAAGAAATATAATAGAAACACACAGAGTTCATATAGTATATTGAGTTTCTTAAATAAATAAACTGTAAGTCGTAGGTCTCAATTAAGAAGAGTGCGAACATGTTTGAGCTTACACATTATATAAATAAATGAATCGGAGTTGTGAACTAAAGAGTGCTTGGACAGGAAATTGTTTAGAAAATATATAATTTACACAAGTTTTTTGTAGCTTTATTTTTTCAACAAACTGTCAAGTTTTTTACTATTCGAATTAACATTATTTTAATTCAGCAAGTAACAAATACTGAGCCCTTACTATATACACCATTGTTTATGGTCTGCATGTGGGAAATACAAATGGGAAGTAAGCAGGGTCTGTCCCCTAGATTTAATAAAAGAGGCCCTATTATGCTTATTGGGGTTTCCCATTCCTGTAGTGTTATATAGCTTTTAGTGCATTGTCAATGGTCTGCAAAGGCTACAATCCGGAGGTTCCCTCCAGAGGGAGTTTCTCTCCCACACACTGCATTGGACTCTTTTGTTTACTTCCATAACATTATGACATCACTATATAACACTCACGCTTCTATTGGCTAGCGCTATAACACATTGTACGTGATAGACTAAGGGGCGGGAAATCTCTAAGCGGTTGACCAATCACAACAGTCAGCCAGGTAACCAATCAGAACAGACTGGGCTCTGGTTTCAGACAGAGGGTGAAAAGAGGTGCTGCAGCACAGGCAGTGTGAGAAAAATAAAGTGACAAAAAGGACAGATGAACAAGCTTGTTTAGAATGAAACTTTGATCTCCGAGTGTGAAATGACCTCTAGTTTAATTTTCTAAGTGATTCCCCCTTCTCTTCCGTAACGACTAGCAGCTAATAACTGCTGTTAAAGGTTAGGACAATGAAAAAGAAACCTGTGTGACAATTGTCTGACCTGAAAATGCATATACAGTATTTGCTAATACTAATATGTCATGGGTGTTGCTGAAGAACATTAGCATTTGACATTTGTTAAGACATTCCTTTAAAAACGGGTATCCATTTTTAAATCATTGACTCACCGGCAGTTAAATCCTTGTTGAGGTCGATGAACGCGTTCGAGTGAGGGATGCGCATGTTGACAGCTAAACTCAAAGCATTCCTCCACACTGGAATCCTGAAGCAAAGAAAAACCAAGAAGCAACAGCAGGATATCAAATCGAATATGTTTTAATATACGAGAGTCTTAGGAATAAACATAAGGATTTCAAAATAATGTTGAGAATGATTTAACTACCTGTTCGTGACGTAGCATACTTCGGTGACGGCGTTTGTGACTCCAAAAATGTCTGGGATCATGTCCCCATTGAAGCTGTGGGAAGAATTTGACATGAATAAATAAAACATAGATAAAACATACTCTGGATAACAGTTTATTAGACATATACTGTGTATGCTTGTTGGCAATGTCGGAGAGGTATAGCTACATCTCTATGGTCACTTTTGAAACTGTTTAATACATAAGGGGGCCAGAAAACATCAGTAGTTTTATCTCATTTTAAACACAATTGGTATATTCAACTTTAAGTCCAGCAATGCACTTTCATTACATTACATTACATGTCACTTGTTAGACGCTTTTACCCAAAGCGACTAACATACTCAATACTGTGGACAATCCCCACAGGAGCAATTTGGGGTGAAGTGTCCCAGGGACACAACGACATGCTGACTGCAGTGGGGTTTGAACCTGTGACACCCCTGATCCCAACACCAACGCACAACGTCACTGCGCCACAGTCCCCCTTGTAATTGTCAGATAATTACAATTTGTATTATATTATTGGCAATTTTCTCAATATATATCATTTTACAATAATGAAAAATTGACAACAAAGGAAGTACAATAAGATAATTACAAATTAAATTAAGGTTAAAATATCATAAAATGTTAAATAAAACCACCGATATAGTTTTTCTTCAGCTTTCTAACAAACCGTACAACATATGTGTATTACTGAACTCTTAAAGCAGACAATGCAGTGTAGCGTATTTTTAACATCCAGCATTCATTTTCTTAAGAACTATTTTTGTAACGTAGCTTTCAATGATTTTGGTTTCAATCAATCAATCAATCAATGTTTATTTATATAGCCCAATATCACAAATGTTACATTTGTCTCAGTGGACTTCACAGTTTGTACAGAATATCAGTATGACAATACGACACCCTCTGTCCTTAGACCCTCACATCGTACAAGGAAAAACTTCCAGAGAAAACCCACAGTTTAAAGGGAAAAATGGGAGAAACCTCAGGGAGAGCAACAGGTTTAAATTTGATTTCACAAGTGTATCAAGTACTGTTTTGTAACTGTTAAGAGCCACATTGAAGAAAAAAGATAATTAATCCTTTTGAACAAATATTTGTGAATTTACATTGAATTATTTCTACTTCAAACATGCAAACTAAACAGAAGTTTATCAAAAAGTATGTTAACACCATTCAGACTGATACTTACTCCATAACAAGAGGTTGGTCTGTAAAGGTCTTGTTCAGCATTATCCACCCACTCATATCTGCAGAAGATAAACAACCGATTCTGAGTAATGCTTAGTCTGACAAAAACATAACAAATATACATTTATATAAATAAAAATAAACATGGATTTTGGCACAACAAAAATATTAAGATGTGCTTTTCTTGTACAGTGAGAAGGAGCCTAAAAATTGAGGTGGTAAAAAAAGATTTACATTTTTCTGTATATAAACATCAATCTGCATATCACTTTGGTACTGACATATTTGTGAAAAATTCCTAAAACCTAATTGAACATTTCCAAGTAAAAGTCCTGCATTGTACATGTAACTTTGGCGAAACTATACAAGTATTACCAGGAACATATTCAAATATTAAATGTACCCAATGCATAATAAACAAAAAAACAATATTAAACACATTTTTAATGATTTAAAATGATAAAGCAGCACATCCACATTTTAGAAGCTTTAACCATATCCTTTTTGGAAATAAAATGACCAAAATTATTATCAAATCAGTTGCCAATAATTTTTTGGAAAACTAATAAACGGTTGGGGTAGCTCAAACCATGACATAACATTATATTTTATAAGCACTTTGTATGTTTTCTATGTCAATTAATATGATGACTTATTTAGTAACCCAAACTCTAGAATATTTACCTTTTATTGTAATTTTAGTAGAGTAAAAATGTGCCACACAATGAAACATTTAAATATTAAGAATTTTAGGAGAAAGTTTATAAGTTACACCAGGAACATGTACTTCCAATATTAAAGGTTAAGGTTACAACAAAATGACTTAAATGACTACAAAATAATATGCAAATTAGTGGTTTGGACAACTTATAAAGTGTTGGGTAGTTAAATGTATTGATAAGTTCTTTTCTTTTTTGTAGGTAAAATATAAATTTGAAAAGTGACTAAAGCTGCCAAATAAATGTAAAAGTACAATATTTATCTCTCAATTGTAGTGGAGTAGAAGTAGAAAGTTCCAGGAAAATAAATACTTATAATTTATACTTAAGAACATTTATTGAGTGAATGTACTAAGTACAATTAGAGTCATGTTCTCTTTTCCATGGCGTACATTCTCACCTGTTGCATGAAAGCACAGGTTGAGCTAATTACGTTAACGATGGCCCCACTGTCCAGCAATTAGTGATTTAATTAATCACACCGGTGGAAAGTCTAACTGTTAAATAGTACTCTATTCAATGTTCTGTTCATTGTCCGACTGATCATTTGTACCCAACAGGAAAGTGAATCCCAGAGTACAAAATAACCATTGGCAGAAAAGTCAGCCTAATCTTTCCTAAGTGTTGGCATCAGTGTACCTAATGTCTGGTTGTTTCCCCAGAAGATGAAAACAGTGGTCTGCTTGGAATCCAGGATCTGAGTTGTAAGCAGGACATCCATCTGAGAGTCTCCATCGTAGTCCCCAGGAACCACACTGGTGATGATGGTATCCCTGAACAGGAAGAGGGTCCATTAAAATGAGAGCAAAATAGCTATTCCCTCTTAAAAGCTAAACAATACCACCCTGACATTTAAGTTATTACGTTAGTATTCAGAGAAAGTTATTTACAACATGATGTATTACAAATAAGGTGTAAATGGAACATATTAAAACCAAAATAGACATATTACCTTGGGAAAATGTCCTTTTTGATGTGAATTTTGGGCTTGAAGTAGGGTATTTTCGAATCAGCCTGGAATATCACCACTTCCGTCTCTGAAAAAGTCAACATGGATACAAATTACAGGCAATCCCATCTCCACTGAAATCATTCATTCGTTGTTTTTAAATATAAAGAAAGTGTTAGCATAAACCATATTTAAGGCACACTGTATAAGAAACCTTAACGGAATAATAGTGGTTAGTTTTACAGTGGTATTAATGTATTTAGACAATTTGCAGTGCATATGAATAAGACATTGTACATAATTTGGCACAATGGTTAATAAACTAACAAGACAGACATAAAAGTGACGTTACTAGAGCATTCACATACGTGCTCTGATGATGAACATGTCTGTCTGTTTATCCGCGTAAAAATCTCCAAAAGCTGCCACTGTCCCATAGTTTTCGGCAGCAAAAAGGTCGGCCGTTACATCCTGTAGAGCAAATGTATTGTATTGTCCCAGAAAAAGTAACAAACATGCCAAAATATTGCATTTTAATTTCCACATCCTTGTTCGAGGCAGGGGCAGCTCCTCACAACAACACCGACTGTAATACGGCACGTTGTTTTACGGCAGAGTGAAATTGCATTTTGAATTGAATGAATGGCGTGTCAAATTGATAATATTTTTGAATATTTTGATATATGCTGTGCTATCTTTAATTTTCTTATAAAGAGGTGGAAATAATGCACTGTTTTAAGGGTAAATATTACAATTTCACAGCTTCCTTGTTCACGTCAGTGTCGTGCTCAGATTATTTTTGACAGTTCATAGCATGGGTTCATTGCTCAGTCAAGTTAAAGGGAGTTAGCCAGATCTAAGTCGGAAGTGAAGGGAGTTTAACTTCAGAATAAATACAAATATTTAGCTAACAAGTAAGTTAAGCGAATAACAGACACATGACATTGATATTTATGAATATGATGTGACACATTTTAACGTAATATATTGTCTAATTAAGACATTATGTCAACTTTTTACATTTCTGTCGTTCGTGAGCCTCATCACCTCTTTTATTTTGAAGGATGGCACCGGAAATCCTTTAACTTTCGAGTGAATTTGACAGTGTAAGCATGGCGAGCCTTGCAGATGTCGGCTGGAAACTCTTGGAATTTAAAGCCCGATCAAAAAGATCAGGTCAGACTTCTTATTTTTGCATGACAGCGTGCAGCGTGACACACCCCCGTTTGCTTCTGTTGTGCAAGTGCTTTGTGTCAGTCTGCTTGTAAATTCACCGTAAACGGGGTTTAAATGGACTTGATCTGGCCATTTAAATTGTCCAATGCAGTGACGGTGCAAGCATGAAAGGTCAGAGGTGTACATGTGAAACACCCAGGAGCTATTTTTAGGAGATTTTTAGCACGTCATCGTTACATCTCCCCCATAGTTAACTGTACTGTGTGTGTTGCATGAGGTGAAAGGCCTGTTGACAGCCTGTGCTATCCTTGCATGGTAGTCAGCCTGGCACTGGAAAAGTAATCCCGTCCAAAAAACAGTGGTGGAACAAGTACTTAGATCGTTTACTGAAGCAGAAGTACTCTGGTAAAAGTACTGTATTCAATTATGTCACTTAAGTTGAATAGTCATATCACCCTAAACCAGTGTTTCTCAAAGTGAGAGACCAGGAGGAAAAATGGTTATGAAAAAATAAAATAAATAATCATAATTAAAAAATATATTGATTCAAAAATAATATGATACAGTACAGTACAAGTACGTCTGGGTCTCTGTGTTTCATTCAAGCTCGGCTCTGTGTGTGTGTGGAACGAGCCATTTGTGTGAGAGAGAGAGAGAGAGAGAGCGCGCGCACCAGTACCGGAGATCATTGTTGTTAGCTTCTGGTGCTAGCGAGCTACGCTAACGGATTTTAGTCCTCTCCTGTCAGACTGAGAGGCTCAGTGAACTAAACTGGACTCTCTGAGTGTTTAGATAGTTAACTTTAGTCTAAGTTATGTCAGTGGGTCTCAAACGGTTTGGTCACGATTAATGTAAACAATTATTTCCGATTCACACATTTATACGATCATTACGCTATAGTTATAAAAAAATAAGAGAATAAATTAAAAAACAGGTATGAAATACTATATAACAGTAAAAAAAGAACACAGTTTAAAAGGGGAGTGATTAGTAAAATATCCATAAAGAAATAGGAAATCTGTTTACAGTTCTGTTTCAAATGGGTGTTGAGAGATGTATATATATATCTCTTCATTTTGCTCTCAAAGTGCACCATATTGATGCTTTTAACTTACATATTTAAAAAACAAATCTTCCCGGGGGAGCATGCCCCCGGACCCCCCTAGAGGATGTGAGGTCCACACACCACCTATAGAAATACCCCTTTACCCCTGCTTACACCTACTGTATATGCCGTGAGCTGATTATCGAGCCTTCATTGTAACAGTCGCGGGTACACTGCGTATTTGCGTGGGGAGTGTTGCAGTAGAGAATTCCACTGTAGCGACCGGTACATTAATGAGAAACCCTAAATGATTGAGCACCCTCTATGAAACGTCAAGCTACCCCACAGCAACCCCAAAATAAATCTCGCCGCCACTGAGCCTGCAACCCCGTTTTGAAGAAATGTGCAGTGCAAAACATTGCAGCCACTAATGCTGTGATAACACACACTTTTCTGCCAAAAAAGCAGCATTTTCTTTCTTTTCATTTTTTTTGCAGATTGCAAAGTATTAAAACTTATTGTTCTAGCAAAGGGATTGCACAATTGTATTTATTTTTTGGAGCACACAGACTTATGGAGCATTGTTTTAGTGATTTTATTTTTAAATTTGAAAGGAATGCTCACATTCATATTGATGTATTTTAATAAAGGTTAACTTGGCCCATTACGTGACTATCTGTGTTGGGGGCACCCGACTTTTTTTTTTCTCCAAAGAGGGGCTCTGACAGAAAAAGTTTGAGAACCACTGCCCTAAACATTGACTTGAAGTACCACAAAAGGAGTTATCATATGCATAATATGCCATTTCAGAATAATACTTTATTCAAATTATTGATGCATTAATGTGTACATTTCTCTAATTTTGCAGCTGTTAAATATTGGTTTTTACTTGTTATAGGCGCACTGCCGGCTTATGATTTTACCCAGGGATTGATAAAGTTGAATGTTTATCCAAACTAATGCATCATCATTTATTTGTTTGTTATATTTTGTAATCTGAATCTGCAAAGTGACTAAAGTGATCAAGTAAATGTAAAATAAAGTACAATACTTTCCTTTGAAATGTATTGCAGTAAAAGTTTAAATTAGCATAGAATAAAAACTCACAAGGCCTGCACATTTGTACTAGCGTATTATTACTTGAGTAAATTACAAAGTACTTTCCACCACTGGGTTAAACTGAGCGTTTTTATACAATGCAAGGACAAAAATATAAAAACTCTTGTGTATCCCAAAAAAGATTTTGTTTTCAGAGACTCAACTGAGGAAACTTGACTAGTACTTATACTATCATGATTACATCGGTCTTTGGTGTTCTAATTAAAGATTTCACAACATTGTACCTCCATGAATCATGTCATAATCACTACTTTTTGTTTAATAATTCATTAAATGAATTAAAAACATGTATTGAGTTGCTTCCATCTTTCCAGTATTCATATCATTCTGATAAAAATGTTGAGTTAATGTTATAGGGAGAATAATCACTCAAGTGCTGTCCTAGTTTATCTGTGTAGTTATTGCGGAGGCCGGCTGGGGAAAACGTGCTACAACGGCCCACAACAGTTACATTAGAAAAATGGCACAAACTAAGCAAATATAAAAACACTAAAGTACCAAAACACTTGCAAACAAAGAAACGTGACAACACCTGCCCGGCATTTAGGAAACATTCACCAACTTGATGAAACATGCGCAGCACTTTAGTAGACGCTTGCGTATGTTTCATCAAGTTGGTGTATGTTTTCTAAATCCTGCCATTTGTTTCAAGTTGGTGAAAATGTTTTTTCATTTGAATGTGTTGTGGTACATTTGTGATTTTATATTTGCATCGTTTTTGAAAGTGCAGCACGTTTCTCCTAAGGTAAGTGTGTTGTACCACTGTAGCGCATTTGCACCTGTTAGCCACTGTAAATCTTCAGAATTTAGTAGTACTGTAGTTTCTCATGACTCTGTGTCTCTCAAGGGTTAAAATAACTTTCATTCCCAGGCAAATTCAACGCATTGTAATTCCTTGCATGTTGTCCATGATCATCATCACAACTCTTTGTTGATTCGTGCTTGTCTTATATCTAACTCTGTGCTACTAACTCCTTCCTGTGAATTGCTGTAGATTTGTGATTTAGCTGAGAGAAACCATTGGCCTTAATTGCACCTTTTGAGAATGGCTGCAAATGCCCGGACACATCGGAAAGTACAAAGACTCGGTAAGTAGTGTCAAAGTCTCTGAGGAACACAATGCAGAGTCAGCCACACACAAGGCAGCAGAGGAGAAGGTTAAAGATTAAAATAAATGATGCTGAAAAAAAAGTTTATGGTAAATGGTATTCTTTTTCTTTTCATTGTCTGGTATAGTTTTATTAGTTCAGCCTCTATATGACTTTGTGCAATACCTTATTTACCTAAATTATATATATTTTTCAAACTCGCATATCATAATGTGTGTATGTAGTTCTTTCAGAGTAAGACTGTTGTACTTTAACCAAAAACAATGTAATTGGATAACTCACAGGAAAGATATTATTATTTGTTCCTGCCTTCCTGCTTCAAACAACTTTGTTTGTCTTGTAACTTAACTGTATATAAAGTATTTATATTGAATTAGTTGCATTAAAATAAAAAAAATAAAAGTATCCCAAGAAAACATTTTTGTTTTGACCAGATATGGGAAAGTTATTGGACTGTAGGTAAACAAAAAACAGTTTAAACAAAAAAACATATACAAAATGTATGCAAAGTATTACTCTTTGTAATGCATTAAACATTTTAAATTTTCTTTTCAAAACTAATTTTTTTAATTTTAAAAATGGACTTCTTTGACTGATATGAATTTGTTCTGATCTTTGTTTTAGTAAACACAAATACATTAGATATTGGCTTATTTTAGGTTTAAAAGTCATATTTCGTTGAAGTTGGCAAATGTATTTTGATACAGTATTCCATATTGGTAACTTTATTTACTGATATGAGCTAACCAGCCATGTGGAGGGTAATTCTATTTTAATCTTAAGAAAACACAAGTCATTCACACGCTCGATTTCTCTTTTGCTGTTGGCAAATTTGATGTGGTGTTACATTACACATAATTTGTGTCTTATGTTGGTTTAGCAATATAATAATCTTCTTGTTCCTCCACAGTAAACATGACAGACCCAGAAGTGACACCATAACATTTACATTATTAATGAAGTCATAAAATACACTGCATGGATTACAGCGTAAAAGGTCTGCATCACTGAAGTCCATCTAGGATTGTTTCAAACTACATTACCAACACTACATACATTTGTCTGATCTTTTGTTAGAAATTACAATTGGAATTATTGGACTGCCTCTATGCTCTTTTAAAGTGTTATCTTTAAAA